ATTCCCGGAACAGTAGTGTAATTATCTATTTTTGGATTTGTTTTATCTACTCGAATAACAAATTGAGCATTTTCTTTAGAATTAATAGAAATATATTGATAGTTATTATCTGTAGATAAAAGTTCACTTCGGACTGGTAATTTTTTAGAAACCTCTTGCAATAGAGCTTTAAAGTATTCTGTTTTATTAGCATCAGAAAGATGTTTAAAATTTTCTGTTGCAACTGTAGTAAGACGAGCCAAACAAAAAGCAGCCTCCTCTATAAAATAAAAAAATAAGAATTTAATGCTTGGAAATTTCAAAACTGTGTTGTGAGGAATTCTATATTAATTAGTTACCTGAGGGAAGCGGTTTATTTTCTAAATTAGATATAAAATTATGTGTAAAATATTAATTAAATATATGAAAACAAAATAAAATAGAATAAAATAAAATAATAAATAAAAATATTACTTGATTGATATTTCACAATTCCTTCATCAATTCCTTTTAAAGGTTCATTGAACAATTCATCTCTGATAAAATCCGAATCCATCTGTACGTAATAATTTTCACCGTATTGATTAAATGTGCTGCTAATGATGGTTATACTGACAATCGAACGAGTTTTATTTGTAATTTTAACATAATCACTCGTTGCAGGAATTGTTTGCCTAATTGTGTTGTCAGATGATTTGTAAATTGTAATAAAACCGGCCGACAAAACAACAGAACTATTAAAGGTAATGTTTAAAGCAGTTGTAGATGAATCGACAGTGCCATCGCTGGATAATGTAATTGGTGGTGGCGAAATATTAACTATCTGAAGATTACCGTAGCCATTATCTACATGATAATTCCGAAATATACAAAATATTAAAGATTTAATAAGTCTATTAAAACAGATTTTATGTAATAAAAGAAGCAAATTACGACCTTCAAGAAGCTGAGGTAGCGGAACCAAGAGCAGAGACCACGAAGTACTTTGATTATTTGTATTAGAAGCTATTATATAAGTATTATCCTTCATAATACTAACTGCGGCATTAAGATTATTCTGATTAATATGATTATAAACAGCATTAGCGACAAAATTATTTGCATTAAAAGGTCCTAGTCGCGCCAACATTTGGTCATTTTCATCATAAGGCCAAATAAAATAACTGAGATTTTTAGCCATCGTATAGTATATATAACCACCAAATTTCATTGCTTGCATTCCAATATTTTGAGACGCGAGATCAATTGCGCTTATGTCAGGAATACTGGATAATATCTTGACCGATATCACCGATTGGGATGTTAAAAAATGAACTTTAATATAATTCAATTGCGAATTATAATTAACTTCAATTATACATATATAACCGATACTGTTTGGGGCTATATCACAATAAAGTCCGAGAAAAATTATGTTGGGAAGAGTTATTTGATATAGGAGGACTTGATCAGTTGCGGTTGACTGATTATAAGGTATAACATTTATGTACAATCCGCCTCGTGTGGTTAATGTTGAAGCATTATTTATTGATGATGAGTTGACATTCAGTATAGCATAACCGCCAGTGATAGTGGGTATTGTTGTGAGTATGAAACTATTAATATTTGAGCTACTTAGTGAAATACTGTTATTTGTCAGTTTTGATATCTTTCCGGAATCATCACTATATAGTATAATAAATAATTATCATTGTTACGAAATAAAAATAATTTACAAAATAATAATGATCAAAGAAAATTAATTTACACTAAATATTGCTGCCATTCTGTCCGATCTAAACCGTTTACCCTTACAGTATTAAATCTAAAAAATCCTTGTTTCTTCACATTTAGTCGAATTATACTTTGTGGATTCCAAGCGCCATTAGAATTAATATAAGACGGTCCATAATGTATTTCACTAGTGATTTATGGAAGAATAGATTGATATTCATAATGTTTAATAATGGTTAATAATAAAATTTACAAATAAACTATTGATATTAATAATGGTTAATAATAAAATTTACAAATAAACCATTATCACACCTTATACTGTTACCACTCCAATCAATGACACCTCCCCATTCTTCATTAGTTCCAGTGTCAGTTTTCACATAATTTACTAGAATAAAATGTTTATGTAAAGGATATATTTTAATAGGGTTCACTGGAGTTCCGTATGAGTCATTAAATATACAAAAATTCACGGGATCAATGTTCATATTGGAATTAATTTCTTTAATTTTTCCATCTGATTGAATAACTCTTAGTCGTAATACATTTTCGAAAATCATTGTGCAATTGAGTGTATTGTATATTGGCATTTTACTTTTTTGCTTTTGTGGATCGCTTTGCCGTGCAACGCTGACAAGAATTGCCCCGTCATCATAAGTTTGAACGTTTACTACTTGCGGTGCACTATCAGGAGATGTAGTACCTGACGTACTTTCTGTATAGTTAATGTATGAGAGTTTAAGAGAAGTTATATCTGATTTTAATGATGTTATGAGAATACAAAGGGATGTTATGAATAAATAAAATTTATAATGATAACTAGATAATTTCATCATTGGTTATTATTAATTAGTTACTATTAATTAGTTACTATTAATTTATGTGTATCGTACTAAGAATGTTATGTATTAGAGTCAAATATTCGCATATATGTATATGTATATATATGTGTGTATATAATGGCAAGCACTATCGCTATTAATAAATAGATTAGTACATAATTGGCGCATTTTGGCAAAATGAAATTCTCTATAAAAACTGTTATATTTTAAGAAACTTTAAATAATACTGTATTGTTGGTGTATACATGGCCTTATAAAAGGCCACACCCTTACGATAAATAAGGTCATATACCGCTGCCTATAAAACTATGCATTCTTGCATATATGTAACTTAGAAGCAATTTTTATATGTTTACCTAACCAAAATTTTCAGAATCATGTGTTATTATGTAAGTTGTAGTTTAAGTTTACAACCCTACTTGCATAGTACGTACGTACGTACGTACACCCACATGCATATTCATGCATTGTAACCGTCATCTATACTATCCAATCAGATGTAAAATAATTACTTTGTCATACGAAACACTATTCGCGTAACATTTTAGTAAATATTTCTGTATTTAGTTTATTGACATGGTTATAAACACTATTCGCGTAACATGTTTGTAAATATTTAGTCTATTGATTTGGTTATAAACGGCTATCATTCCTCACGCCAGATAACCCATATTAATTAAAATAGCTCCTAATTAAAGTGTAATCCCTATTACGCAGAAAAAGAAAACACAGGTAAGGATTTGATAGTTGTACCCTCATCCCAATTTTTTTAACACGTGATTGACGATAATTGATCAAATATTTTAACTAAGTCTAATGATAGCGTTATTCAAGAAATGAGGGGTTAAATTTGTATTAATTTCAAAATTGTCTGTTAGTTTTTTAATTGGTTTTTTGAAGTGTTTATATACCGTATTTTTCCGAAATCTTTATATCCCTTGAAAATACTTTCACGATTCATATGCACCCGAAAATAAGTCATTACAATTCATCAGATTATTAGTTGAGATAATGCCAGATAATAAGCACTTCTATAATTAAATATGGAAGTTTCGAGTATTTTTAGCTCCAACATAAGCCGCTTAAATAGCCTTATCGTGCACATCTAGTCCGCTTATGGAGGCCCGATTCCGTATATACGGGTAGCTTAGCTATAGGTCACATTAAGTGTCGCTAAAAGAAAACCCGAAAATTTTAATATAAGTCATATTTAAATTGTCGGGTTTTCTTTTAGCGACACTCATATAAGAAGGATATGGTTTACCAACAATATATTTTTTTTTGGCTTGGTATTTTTTGTATTCCAAGAAAAAATAGAAGAGATTATAGAAAATACACATAATGTTAGGTGATAACGTTTCTATTAACTGTCAGAAACAAAATTGATCTTCATTCCTGACAAGCTTGGAGAACTTTTATAAATTATTATTTCTTTAATTAATATATAAATAACATAAATTAAAATAAACACTTACTATATATGTATCCTTTAATCTTGTTTTTTAAATAAAATACAAAATTTATTGTGTAAAATAGATAGAATATACAGTCACACTCCCATATAACACATCTTATATAAGCTTATCACCTATATAAGAACATTGATTTTGAACCAACTGCCGTCAAATATATAAAAATAGTTTCCTATATAAGAACACTTTCTCGTGGCCCAATGTTATGATTATTTGGGAGTACAACTGTAGTATAATTAGAAATGTTACTATACGCAAAGAAAAGGATAATAATATGTACAAATAACCTCCGCAAGAAAAATCAACCAATGGACAAGAGATAGTAATATATAAAAAATTTGCCAAGTTTACATATAGAAAAGCTGATACATTACTTCGTAGTTGTGTTACTGTTCCTAACAAAAATCCTAACAGAAGTAAGTTTTAACATTCTAGATCAATTTGTGCTAATACCATTTAGATTATTAGTGTTATTCGTGTTATTTTGATCCGTTTCTTTAAAAATAAACTTTAGAACTTTCTTCAGGAATACAAAAATAATGATCAGAAAACATTTCAGACAGGACGTTACCAATGCCATAAATGGCATATAAGTATAGATCACTATTGATGAAGTATAAATAGCCTATTTAAACAAGATGTAAAATAAGAGCAAAAAAAGTATTTGAATATTTTTATCAAAATTGTATACTATATGTTTAATAATTAAAAGATATTGACGTTACCATAATAATAATAAGTGGAATATTTCTACAAAAAATTTCTACCAATACTTTAATTAGAATAGCCCTTTTAATCCAAGTTTCGACCTTTTTTTCTATCTCTTTAATCTCATTCGTATTTTTTGCCTTCTTCACATTAATATATTTTATTTTATTAATATAATCTTGTGTTATGTCTTTCATAAATATTAAAGCTTCGCTATCAAAGATTACAAAAATTATGAATAACATATGTTTCATATCCATGAGTACATCTTCTTTTAGATGAAGTGTTTTTTTCAATGTGCCAGAAAATATTTTTTTGATTCTATCAATCTTATAAGATATTTTGGTATGATCATTTTGTATCGCATTAGAAAGTTCTTTGTTTAAAGTGTTTCTTCTTCTTGGTTTTTTTCCTAAAGTGTTTTTCCTTTGTACTTTCCCAAAAGGTTCGTTATTTTCAAACATTTCGTTTGGTTCCTGGCTAAGAAGTTTATTATCCTCTTGTTTATTATCCTCTTCTTTGTAAATTTTCTCAAGAATTTCACAAAAATATTCTTTTTCAATTCTTTTATGAATTTCATCAGAGATTTTCTTTTTGATTTCAATAGAAATTTCAGTGTAATTTTGTTCTTTACTAGGAATTTGTTCTTTACTAGGAATTTCTTCATTAGAATTTTCATTTTGTTTTTCTTTAAAAGTTTCTTCTTCATAAATTTTATTAAGAATTCCAACTAAATAATTTGTAGTCCATTTCTGGATTTGATCAATAGCCTCTTTTTCTTGTTTTTCACGATCAAAAGATTCTTGTTTTTGTTCCTCGATAAGGGTCATTTTCCCATCATAAATTTCTAGCTCACTATGAATTTTATCGTAAATTCTCTTAAGAAAATATTCTTTTTGAATTATTCGTTGAATTTGATCAGTGATTTCAGTGAAACTTTGTTCTTCATTAGAAGTTTTTTGCACATCAAAAATATCATTAGGAGTTTCTTGAGCATCAGAAATCCTTTTATAAAATTTATTAAGAATCTTATATTTGATTTCTTTGGAAATTTCGGTGGAATTGTTTACTTGTTTGTTAGAAACTTCTTGCCCATCAAAAGTTCCTTCATTGTTATTAGGATCTTGAGGTTTAAAATGTTTAAATTGATTAAATATTTCCTTTTTGATTTCATCAGCGACTGTGGCCAATTTTTTTTCAAATTCTTTATCTCTAATCGAAATTTTTTTCGAATTTTTAATAATCGAGATCTTTTCTTCAATAGTGGTTAAAATTTTATTTTCTAATAGGACAAAAAATTCTTCCAATAATATGTTGAAAAGTTTTTCTAATATCAAAACAGCAAATCCAATATGTATCTCTGCCAAAATTAATTTTCTTTTCTTTTTATGAAATTCATGATGTATTTTTATGGAAACTTGTAGTAATTTTGCCGTATGCTTTATTTCTATATCAATGTCTTCAGAATTTATATTATTCAGATCGTCACTACAAGAACTTTCATGTTGATCTTCAGAAATTCGTTTAAGAATTTTAGGTATATTTTTAATTTCGGATTTTATTTGGTTGGAAATTTCGACTTTTTTTCCATCAAAAATTTCACTTAATTTGTCAGAATTTTCAAAATTGTTTGTGATTATGTGAACACAATCATGTTTATTCTCCTTAACAACTTCTCCAATTATTTCATAATATTTGTTTTGTTCAGAATGTTTATCATGTTCCTTATCGTTGCTTGAAAGTTGATCAGAATCTTTTACAATAGAAATTATTACCAAATCTTTAATGTTTTCAACTGAAGGTTGATCATCTTCAAGTTTTGCGTATGTAGCCATCGTATGGCACATTCCTTCTATGCCACCAAAAATTTTCTCTTTTATTCCCGTAACAAAATTTATTATACCACCAAAAAATTCTTCTATGCTCTCACCAAACCTCATGGAAGTTTTAATTATTTTCTTTTTTGAAGGTATTGAAAATTCAGCAATATAGATAAGCATGACGATAACCATAATAAAATTTATGATTATTTGAATAAACCATATTATTATACTGAAAGGAGATAGTAAAAAATAGTAAATAAAAAAGTTAATCATAAATAAAAAAGTTAACTCAATAATAATAAAAAAAAAGAAATTTACCTTGGTAAATAAAGGTTTGGTTTCTCAATAGAATAGGTAATAGCAAAGTAAATGGTAAAAAAGAAATTGATGGCAATTATTACATAACTTGACAATGCATGAAATAGTTTAATCAATGTGGGATCGGAATTTTTTAAAACATTTTCGAACGTTAAGATGTGTGAAATTGTAATTACTACAAGAACCATAATCGATATAATAATTAAAGTTCGATTATCGACCCATAAATTACCTAAAATATTAAAATATAAGCGTTAAAATATAAGCGTTAATAATTTTAATAATTTATTTTAAAAAAAAAGTATAATCATTAAACTTACTCATCACTTCAAAGCCGTAACTAGCATCCAAATCATTTGTAAGACCATTAGAAAAGGTAGTAATTTGCTTATACGTAATCATAGTATATATATCCGATACTACGCTATCAACAGTGTTTTCATCTAAATCTTGTGATTTTACATCAATCTTGATAGAAAAAATAATTTGCTCTTCAGGTTTACCGTAATTAATATATTGAAATCTTTCATTTGTGCTTAAACGTGAACGTCGAACTGGTACTTTATCAGCAATTTCATTTAATAAATTCATAAAATATTTAGATCGATCATGGTTTGATAAAGATAAGAACCTTTCCTTAGCATCATTTTTGATACCGACTAAACCAACAATAGCACTATCTAAAAGAACGTATATGGAATAATTTTAAGCTATATGAAAAAAGCATATTTATATAGATCGAATATACTGTAAACTAATACCTGAAGAATTATACGTAACTACATTGTTCTTAATACCTAAATTGGTTTAAAAAAGTAAGAATTACTGTACTAAATAACCTAGATAACCTAAATAATGTAGGTAAATCTTACTTGAAGTAAGGATCCAAATTCCATTACCAATGCCTTTTAAAGGTTCGTTATTTTCAAACATTTCGTTTGGTTCCTGGCTAAGAAGTTTATTATCCTCTTGTTTATTATCCTCTTC